TTGAGTGGGTCCTGGCGCTCAGGGCTCAAATGTCCTCCTCTAAGAGTGAAGAGACCAACCTATAAGAAGAGGGCAGACAGACACAAGAACACCCACACTTGCAGATGATACCCACTTGACCTAGCTTCAATGACTGGATGAACAGAACTCAACCCGAGGAAGAAGGAAGAGGGGGGAAAAAAAAAGTGTCATCTGACACAACTGGATGAACTGGACCTATGCATATAACTGCAGTAGCTCAAAAGAGGAAACAATTAGCGGCTACAAGAGTTATTCCCATCCCCTCCATACAAAGGGTGGGAAGGGTTGGGCAACTTGAACATTGGCCACCCAAAATGGGGGGAGGGATACAAAGGTAAGAAGTGACTGGCTTATAAGCTTTCAAGAGGGAACCTAGATCCACAGGGCAGGGAGGATAGTGGAGTCTCCAGTGAATAGTACCCAACCTGTCTAGGAAGGGCTGATGAAAAGAAATGCAGAAGGGTCTCATGTGATGTAATGGTGAAAATTGTTACCAGGACTGATCGTGAGGACTGAAGCGTAAAGGCGGATATTTTATAACAAAGAGGGGAGTGACTAACCTTTCAGTCTAGGAGCAGAGGGCCCTGGGACCATCAACGGAGAAGAGCGGAGAGCAGGACCCCACCCAGAGAAGCAGTGAGACTTGAGCTGGAGACGGAGAGGATGACGTGAAGAGATGGAGTGCCTGAGGAGTTGAGACCCAGAGAGGGAAAGGGGCTGTGTGCTGAGGACAGTGGGGCAGGGTGGGCATGCAAGGTATACCCTTTCGCTGGGGGATGATGCATGGACGGATGGTAACTAAGACATTGAAACGATGTACGATAGAATGAATGTAAAACTAATGTTTCCCCATGTAAAATATCACTCAATACACAATAAAACATTTATTTAAAAAAAAAAATGTCCTCCTCTAGAAGCTTGTAACAATAAAAGCAGCTGCTGACTGTCCTTATGGAGAGGGCTGGGCTGGGGTCAGTTTTGCTTGGAATTTGGGCTACGGTGCTGGTGTCTAGGGGAAAGTTTCCCCGAGCATGGTGCCTTAATCTAGAAGTCTAACCTTGGGCAAGGAGGCTCGTGGAGAAAGATGTCAGGGCCTATGCCCCTCCCACCAGACAACATAGGAAACACTCTCTAAAATATGTAGAATCAGTTCTGGAAATAGTAAAATGTCATAGTTTTGTTGGGTCCATGACAGAGTAAGAGTTACACTTTTCATCAAGACAAAGATAAAGAACAGAGGACCCTAGAATGTGGGACCCTATCCAGAGAAGCAGCGACATCCGAGATGGAGGCAGAGATGAGGCCATGGAGAGAGGGAGCAGCTGAGACTCCAGATCTATGGAAATGAGACAGGCTTTGTGCCGGTGGCCAGGAGGCAGGCTTGTAGAATGTGCCCTTGGGTTGTTTAAATTATTGTATATCCCTGAGTGTTTTTGTGTACGTCAAAAAAGCCCCCCAAAAAACAGAGGGAGTAGAAGCAAATACTGTTGAATGATGATGCACGGAGAGGATTGTAATCACTGCAATGAAATGATGTGTGTAAAACCGATGTTCTCCCATGTAAACTATCACTCAATTCGCAATAAAAACTTAAAAAAAAAAAAAAAAAAAAAAAAAAAGAAAAAACCCATCTCTACCTGCTAGCATAGTGGTTACAAATCGGGCTGCTAACCTGAAGGTTGGCAGTTCGAAACTATCAGCTGTTCCATGGGAGAAAGATGAGGCGTTCTGCTCCCGTAGAGATTTACAGCCTTGGAAACTGTGTGCAGGGTCGCTATGAGTTGGAACTGATTCCATGGTACTTAACAACAACAACCATGCTCAAGTATAACATCTCCTTCTCCAAATGTTTTGTTTACGCTGCACCTGGGCTCTAAGGCACCCTGATAGTGTGGTGAGTTACATGTTGAGCCGCTAACTGCAAGATCAGCAGTTCAAGTCCACCAAGTGCTCCGCAGGGGAAATATGAGGCTTTCTGCTCCTATAAACATCTACAGCCTCAGAAACCCTATACAGGGTCACAATGAGTTAGAACCGACTCCACAACACATAGCCAGCCAGTCATGTTGTTGTTGTTAAGTGCTGTTAGTTGGTTCTGACTCATAGCAACCCTGTAAAGGGTTTCCAAGGAATGACTTGGATTTGAACCACCAACCTTGCAGTAAGCAGTCTAGTATTTATCCTATAGTACCATGCCAGAACTCTGTGGGATTTTTATTTACTCATGATGCTTATCTTTGGGGTAGAGGCATTTCTGGGTCATGGTCTGGTTCAAGGTTAGGGTTTAGCAAGCAACTTTTTTTAGATGGAGTAATTTGAAAGGGTGGCACTGTAGGATAAGCACTGGACCACAAAGTTGGTTTGAGCCGAAAGGTCAGTGGTTCAAACTCACCAGCCACTTCTCAGAAACCTAGACAGGGTTGCTATGAGTCAGAACTGATTAGATAGCACTTAGTGACAACAACAATTAGGAGTTGGGGGGCCAGAGGGATTTGACTTTTTAAAGGCTGCACATTTTTGTTCTCAGAAAACCCAAAAGGATTTGGCTGGCCTTGAACTTCTGCATGTTCTGGATTTTGGAGCATGAGCTGACTATACAATCTCTGGTTAATCTTTTTCTATTAAAGGTTCATGTGATATTCATGTGTGCGTCCTGCCTTAGAAATTTAAAACCTTACCCAAGTGGGTAATCTTGATGAAGTGACTTCTCCTGTGGTTTTTCCGGCATGCCAGCTTATTGACAAGGGGCAGGGCACCCCTAGCCCTCGCATGCTGGTCAGGCACACCTTTTAGACGGGGCCAGTGATTGGAGCAGGGCATCTCAGTAGTCTTGGATCATCTTTTCAGACCCAGGGGAAGTCCCTTAGATGTGAAATACAGCTGAGTTCCGGATGCAGTGAGGTGGTTTCTTGGTAACCTTCTGGGTAGTAAGTCTTTCTATGGAGGTTGGTCTGTCTTACTTAAGAACATTTTAGGGGAAGCAGACAGACCTTTCTATCCATGAGAATCTTGGTGCCTTTAGAAGTGGGGCATTGAGGAGAGCTACTTTGAGGACATGGTGATTAATAGGGAACCTACAGTAACCAGTTAAAGGCCAGGTAGACTAGTAACTGAAAAGGGTAGCCTTGATTAACCATGCTAATAACATATCTTCACAGCCACTACTATTGCCTGTTACTGTGGAGTCAGTTCTGACTCATGGCGCCTGTACTTTTCCGTGGCTGATTTTTCAGAATATCAAGCCTTTCTTCTAAGGCTACTTATTCTGAGTGGACCTGAACCTCTCAGTTAGCAGCTGAGCACATTAACTATACTATCTTGGGAATCCTATCTGCTCAACAACTTGTCTGTCTTATCCCCATTTGTTTACTGGAACCTGAGCTGAAAGTGCCACAGCTTCTCTTGTCTCTCTCATGCTGCCTTAGACTAGTGGGGGAGTCCAGTGACCCAATGACTTGTCCATGCCTTCTGGAAAAGTGTGGGCCAGAAAGTCAGAATCGTTGATTGCAGATGTTGATTGAACTTTCAGCCTGTCAGGAGGCTCTGGACCACTGGGATTTCCCCAAACAGCTGAAAGCTGCTGCAGGTGCGGCACGTACGTTCTCCAGGGGAAGGCAAACAATGAAAAACTCAAAGAAAATATGTGTTAGGTTAATATGAACCAGTCAGAGGAGAAAGGAGAACAGGGAAAAGGGATGAGGAACTTCACGAAGAGGGAGTATCCACTTGTAGCTAAGACCTCACTGAGCAGGTGACAATTGAAACAATTGAGGCAGAAGCTGAGGGAGTGAGCCATGTGGCTACCAGGAGGAAGAGCATTCAAGACAGTGGCAACAGCCAGTGCAAAGGCCCTGGGGAGGTACCCTTGATGTGTCCAAAATGCAGCCAGGAGGCCAGTACAGAGAAAGCATAGTGAGGAAGAACAGACCAGAGGTGGGGTCAGATGGCTTGTGGGTGGTAGATCTTGAAGAAACTGTTACTAGGATTTGGGCCTGTATTCTGCGTACACAGAATCACAAGTTTTATTGGGTCATTCTGGTTTTTACTGGGAGGCCACTGCAGGATCCAGGGGCCATGTGGCAGTGGGGCCAGCCTTGTCTGAGGGGTAGAGAGGGTATCAGGTGACAAAGCTCCCTGAGGATTTCATACAAGACTTTTCAGGCCGAGAGGAAAAGGGGTCCTCTGAGTGGGTGGGAATGCGGGTGGGCCTTTACCACCTGGGTTTTCCCAACAGAGAGCTCCAATACTCATCTTCTCATTGTTAGAAAATCAATGATGAGAGATTTTACTTAAAAATCCACTCCCCCCAGTTCCTTCCATCTCAACCGTCAGCTCTGGTGGTCATCCTGCTTTCTAGGTGCTGGTAAGCACCATTTCCTGGTATGACCTGCTTGTTGAGCACTCATCCAATGCTCCATGTTTGAAGATGGGAACATAGACTCAGTGTCATCAAATAACCATCTGAGGTGCAGGAGCGGCAAGCAGCAAAGCTTCCTGACTCTCTAGTCTGTGGCATTTCCCCTGACTCACCAGCACCCTCCACGAAAGGGGTGTCTCTTAACTAAGGTCCACTCCTGTGTAGGCTCCTGATTTTGGAGACTCCCAACAGCAGACTACAGGCGCAGACCAACTCTTTTTAAAAAAATGTTTTATGGGAGAACATTAGTTTTACATTCATCCTATCCTATATTGTTTCGTTGCCATGGTTACAATCCCCTCCATGCATCATCAGCCAACTAAAGGGTACACCCTGCAAGCCTGGCCCCCGGTCATCAGCACACAGCCCCTCTCCCTTTCTGGGTCTTAAGTCTTATTCCCTCATTTGAGCTACAGCACCCACAGGTGTAGGTCAAGTACATCAAATTGTATCAGATTACTCTTTTTTTTTTTTTTCTTTCTTCTTCCAGATGAACTCTTTAGAGGAAAATTGAGTGACCGCCAGTCCTTGCTCTCCCTTACTTCCTGCTTTTCTGCTGCAGGTGATTGGGGCCCTGGTGCTGTCTGTCGGCATCTACGCAGAGGTCGAGCGGCAGAAATACAAGACCCTGGAGAGTGCCTTCCTGGCCCCGGCCATCATCCTCATCCTCCTGGGGGTCATCATGTTCATAGTCTCCTTCATTGGTGTACTGGCTTCCCTCCGGGACAACCTGTGCCTTCTCCAGTCGGTGAGTCATGGGCTGGGGGCTGCAGTCCCCAGGAAACCTGGAAGCCCGCCCTGGGCCCTGGGAGCAGCCCCTACAGAGGGTTCCCTGGATTTACCGCCATTTAAAAAAACATGATTCTGCTCATTTATTTAAACCCTTTGCTCATCTCAACTCTGAATTCCAAGGGAGAGAAATAAAATTCAAATGAGAGTGAGCAAAAAACAAAAAAAGGGGAAGGAGAGATCAGTTCATTAGCTCCTGTCAATTGCAAACCCATGACTAGCCCCAGGGGTCCAGGTGTGTTGGATTGTCTCTTACCCCCTCAGCTGGGGCTGCTCTGGCTAACAGAGTCTGTACATAGCTCTTGACCCCAGGGTGATTTTCCTGGTAACTCTATCTCTGATAGGCCATTCCAGAGTCTGGATACATCAGTGTCGGGGTAGGCTGAGTCTGTACACAGATGTGTCTCCCTTGGCCTCCCCTCAGCCGAAAATTCCCTAGAAGCCCCTGTAACAAGGATCTTATGCTGCCGGAGGCTGGATGTTGCTGGAGCAGGTCTGGGCAATACTTGTTCTCCAGAAGAGGGTTATGGGGAGGTGCATATCCTCAGAAGGGACCCCATCACCTACTCCACCTCTGGGGGTTCCTGCAGGGTGAATTTCCTTTCCTGCCCCAGTTGATCCCAGGCCTGGCCAGAGCAATGTGAGTCTCTCGGTGGGGCAGCCAGGTGCTTTCCCACTGGGACCCAGAGAGGACCCCTGGGATTCAGGTTGACCACAGTGTGGCTGAGACATGGAATCACTCATCCCGTCCACAGACTCCACAGATGAGCTTTTCCAGGGGATGTTTATTCAGGCCTTGTGTTCTCACAGGAGCAAGGGGGTGAGGCCAAGCTCAGACACACAGTTCTGCCTGTGACTAATGTGTGCTTCGACCTCAGAGCAGACGCTGCTCCCTGGCCCTGGCCCTGGCCCCCTTCCTTCCTCCAGTGAGAACACGGCTCACACGCCTCCTCCAACTCCCTCTGGATGAATCTTTGCTGCTTGTTTTTCAGTTCATGTATATCCTGGGGATCTGCCTCATCATCGAGCTCATTGGCGGTGTGGTGGCCTTGATCTTCCGGAACCAGGTGGGCCTGGGCCTCAGTTATCAACCACAGTTTCTTGAGCACCCACCATGTGTGCCCTGGGTTGTAAGCTGGGGGTGCTACGGTGAGCAAGAGAGATAACTCCTCAGGGAGCTTCCATTCTCTGGGGAGCCAGGCACTGACCAAGCAAATCAGCTAAGAAGCATGCACTACAAGAGTGTCTGGGGGTGGAGGTCAGAGAGGAGGAACATTTCAAAGTGGTGACCTAGCTAAGAAGGGGTGATATTGAGTCTTTATAAATGAAAAAGAGCCCACCAGGCAAGGCTCAGGGGGACACAGGCCAGGCAGAAGAAACCCAGGCGTGGAGGCTCTGGGCAGAGCAATGTGGAGACTGTGTGTCTGACCTGGTGAGCAGTCGAGAGACATGGGGAGAAGGCCTGACCCATCTCCTCAGACATTGAGATTCCGTGGCTTGGAGCTTGGATGTTTCTCTGAAGGCACTGAGAACCTTTGAGAGTTTTTTGCAGGGAGTGATATAATCTGATTTACATGGTTTTCAGGATGTTTCTGGCTGCTGAGTGGAGAGTGGACAAATAGGGTGGCCGGGGGAGGAGTGGGGAGACCACTAGGAGTTGACAGAGGTCATCCAGTGTGCAGGCAGTAGGCATGGGCAGAAAGGGTTGGATTTGCTGTGTGTTTGGAAGCAGCGCTGACAGGATTCCCTGCTGCATACAAGGTGAGGAAAAGAGACAGGTTGGGAAGGTTTGCAAAATCAGGGGCCCTGAGAACTGGAAAGGAGTCTGGGCCCTGAGCACTGGGTGGTATAAGCAGTACTTGGCTGCTAACTGAAAGGTTGGAGGTTTGAGCCCACCCAGAGGTACCTCAGAAGAAAGGCCTGGTGATCTACTTCCAACAAAATCTGCCATTGAAAGCCCTAGGGAGTATGGTTCTACTCTGACACGCATGTGGGTACCATGCGTTGCAATCAACTCAATGGCATCTACGTATTTTTCAGAATCCAAGGACTCTTTCTTGTTTTTGAGCCACAAGGGAAGAGAGGGAAGATTTGCATCAAGGCACAGAGAGATTAAGAAACCCTCCCAAGAGCACACAGCAAGGCAGAGGCAGCACAGGGATGCTTCTCAGTCCAGCACCTTTTTGCTCTTGCTCTGTCCTACTTCTCCTGTCTTCGGAGCTGGCAGGAGACAGCGGCTCGTTTTCCAGCAGTCCCACACCAGGCAGGGCTCCCTGCTTTCTGGCAGTTACGGGTTTGTGCTTTCCTGGTTGGGACCTATATGTCCAGTTCAAAGCCAGCAGCATCTGTGGCTTTAGCAAACAGCTCCCAAAGTGCACAGAGCTTCTTGGTTTCAGCGTACTTTCTTTCTTTCTTATTCTTTTTTTTTAATGTTTTATTGTGAATTATGTGATAGTTTATATGGGAGAACATTGCCATGGTTACAATCCCCTCCATGCAATCCTTCCCCCGTACCTCCCAGGTCTTCAGCACACAGTCCCTCTCCCTCTCTGGATCTAAAGTCTCTAGCTGCTCCATTGCTCCACGTCATCATCTCTGGCTCCATTTCAGGCATCACTGCTT